AATCAAGTCATCAATGTGGCGTGAGGAAGTAGATGGAAGAAAGTGATAAAATGACGATTTTACCCTCATTATTAACAGTCAACTAACAGATAAATTAACGGAGGACTAAATTAGGTAAATATTACATAGTTGAGGACTTAATTGAGTAAGAATGATAGTCGAGGACCAAATTGGTAATTACCACATAGTCGAGGGACTATTTTGGTTATTAACTCTTTTATTACACATTGTTGAAAACTTCTCTGTACATAGCATTTTTAGTCGTACTTAGAAATGTTACATTTTCGCCACAACTCAAAATTTTTAAACCCTTTGGATTACTAACTCTTGAAACAGCTACTTACATTTGACCATGGTTAAAGACAGACATTTTCAAAAACAATCCCACTTTTGAGAGTGTTTGTCATTTTGCAACTATTGACGGAGTTGAAATTGTACATCCTCAAACAAATGTTGCCAAACAGCATTCCAAACAGCCTATGATTTTCCTTGTCATAATACAGTACATGCTAATACTGATTTATAATAAAAATAAAAAATATAATAATAACATTACTAATAATGACTAATTTACTACTAAGCTCTCATTTCTATGTAAACATCCTAGGAAAAATCATGTAAATATCCGAAAATATTATTTAGAGATCACAATAAAATGATCCTGAAAGTAAAAGCCCCTCCATGAAGATCATGTCAACCATGTTGATCCAAACCTCTATTGAAGATCAAGCCATTTGAACTCGGGGGCCCTTCAATGAAGAACAAACATATAAGCTCTTCTTTGAAGATCAAGCCACTTGAATTCCGGAAACCCTTTAATGGAGTGTTCAAGGCATCTCATTGAAGAGTCAGAGGACCTACCAGAGATCTTGTACCTATACCGCATTGATACTACTTGTAACCAGAATTTTGAATTTTGACATATTATTCAATTTTCTTTGTTCACAAATTGGCACGCCTAGTGGGACATCTCTGTCTTTCATCTCTTCATAGGCACATACATTTCAACAAATAACGGGAGCAAACACTTTATGAAATTTGAAATTGGGGAAACTAAAAGATACTCTGTAGCACAAGTTGAAATTGTCTCATATCCTCCAAAGCTCCTTGGTACGAGTGGAAACAGCCTCATATCCATCATGACTTCTTGGCACGAGTTGAAACGGTCTCATATCATTTATGCTCTTTGGCACGAGTTGAAACAACCTCATATCCCTCAAAGCTCATTGGCACGAGTTGAAACGACCTTATATCTTTAACTGTGTGTCGAAATTTCCTTGCACAACATACTTTCGAGTGGTATATGCTCTCAAGTGGCATACAAGCAAGTCTCGAGTGGACATTTGTTGACACTGAAATTTAGATAAAAGATTTGTTTTATATTATTAAATTTGAATATATTTTGAATAATATTGATATTGATATTATCTAATTTGTTTAATTAGATAATATCAAAAGAGTTTGAATTTATCAAAACTCTTACATAGTTCTATCCTACTGCTATAGATATGAGCTCTCATTTCTATATAAACATCCTAGGAAAAATCATGTAAACATCAGAAAATATTATTCATAGATCACAATAAAATTATCCTGAAAGTAAAAGTCCATCCATGAAGATCATGTTGATCTAAACCTCTATTGATGATCAAACCATTTGAACCCGGAGGAGACCCTTCAATGAAAAACAAACATATAAGTTCTTCTTTGAAGATCAAGTTACTTGAATTTCGGATGACCTTCAATGGAGTGTTCAAAGCATGCAATTGAAGAATCAGAGTACCGTCCAGAGATCTTATACCCATATCGCATTAATATTACTTGTAACCAGAATTTGGAATTTTAACATATTATTCAATTTTTCACAAGAAGACTTTCATGTATAAATTTAGTCTTACTCCGTATTGTGTAACAATAGTAGTCGTACACTTGTAATATTGTCATCACTATCAATGATTTCATCTTTTAAGCACGAGTCGTTGTTTGGCATTACACATTAGGAACTCGTATCCATGCCCCAACTTGCCAACAAAGCTTGTTGTCATTATTATTTATTATAAGGACTTATACAACTTCATATGTTAAATAAGTCACTGAACAATGTAATTTATCCATATAGTTAGTTAATTGATTAAATCTCCTTCCACTCGCACATATATCTATTCATATCATAATAAATGAGATAGTTTTGTAAAATTGAGTTTGAGATGCCTAATGTTGTTGTATGTTTAACGAGTGCAGACCCCAAAAGCAAGGTGATTCATTGACGCTTTTGAGTTTATGATGCATGATTTCACTATAGAAATGGTAATAAATGGTGAACTAGAATGTGATGTTTAATTAATCAAATTGAATGTAGGCGAACTTCAAATCAGTACTTAGAGAACTTTTGACAATTCATCCAAGGTTGAAATTCTTACACTATGCACCTGAATTTCAAGAATATATGGTAACTTCTTGCTCATTTGTTTTGTATCTCTTAATTTGTCTGTTTCGAAAATGAAAGCCTCAATATCAACCTTTAACCCGATGAGTAACATAATTACAAAAATTAAATTGTATAAGTTTGGAGAATTGTGAAACCCTAACCAATTGAAGATTAGAACCTGACGGTGAATTGAAGCAGCGCCAGCGGGGAGGCATCGAAGGTACGGCATCGGGACGGCATCGATGAGTGGACGCCTTCTGTTAGGCTAAAATACATATCACATGCATATAATATGTGATACAGGACCGACTAACCTCCAGCCATAGTTCTTGAGACGATTGAGCGATCCGAACTGCTGCAAAGATAAACATGAGTATTTTGTCTCACTTTACTCAGCTCTCTCTAGATGGTGTATGAGGTATGTGTTGTGAGCAGTGAGAGGACTAGTGACCTTATATAACCACTGGCCATCATTGTGGTTGTATGTCTTTAGGTCTCCTAAACCATAACCAGACTCCTAATCATAATGGTAGTCTAGCTATTAGGTTATTAGTGTTGCACCACATATCAAATACTTAATATTATTATAACATATGTATATTCAGAGGTGTGTGCACTGGCGCGGTGATATGTGTGCACTTGTCTGGTTGCTAGCTGGTTTTGGGTGACATTTGTGTGCACTGACTTGGAGGTGTGTGTGTACTTGTCTAGTTGTTGTGTGATCTTGAGTGCCAAGTGTGTGCACCGATTTGGTGATGTGTTCGCACTCGTCTGGTTGCAGTGTTGTCTTGAGTGTCATGTTTGTGCACTGATATGGTGGTGTGTGTGCACTCGACTGGTTGCCGTGTGGTTCGAGTTCCAGGTGTGTGCACTAATTTGGTGGTGTGTGAGCACTCATCTGGTTGTAGTGTGGTTTGAGTGCCAAGTGTGTGCACTGGTTTGGTGGTGTGTGTGCACTCGTTGGTTGCCGTGTGGCTTTGAGTGCTAGTGCACACACTGAACTACTGTCGACGTGATGACATACGGACAAATCAAAGTCAACTGTTAAAATAAGTACGGATGAAAAAATTCTGAAAATAAATAAATAATATAAGCATAATAAATGAAATATTCTACATGAAGAATCATATTTTACCATAAATACAAAGTATAACAGCCTAATCAAATTCTATCCCTAATTAAATCATATGTATATTCTCTTTTTTTTTTTTTTAATGCAAATCATATGTATATTCTCTATTATGTCCTTATTAATTATGATTCCATTAATCCAACCATATATGTGTGAATCAATCACATTAACTCAAATCTTTGCATCCAATGAATTGGATTCACACTCAACAAAGCACCTTACCTTTTCATTTTTCACATATAGTAATTCCTTCTCAGTACACATTGCATAATTGTAAACTGCCTCCTTAAATTCTTCTTTAGAACCAAAGGTTTACCCAAGGCAGAATTTTGGTGAAGCATCTCAGTTTGTCCTCTGAATTTTGGAAGTTTGTACTCTTGTTCTTCAAAATCACTATCTTCTCACTGCCCTCATCTAAGAAATTGATTTCTATATTTCCATCATCTTTCAGTGTTAAATCAAGCTGATGTTGTTCAATCGCAGCAAACTCTACACTTGGTTCAATATTTTTCTCAAAATCTGTCATTTTCATCAGACTCACCACCATTTTCCCATTCACCATCACTTCCTGACTCATCTACTCCATCACCACTTACACCTTCTGAGTCATCAACTCCATCACCACTTACAACCCAAACCTCAATCTGATTATGCAACTCAACATACCACATAGCTTGGTTGTTGGTGAAGCTAGCAATTTCCTTTAAAAGTGGCAGTTAGCAAACAAAGGTGTTTCTCAACCTACTACAATTGAGACGTGGCAGGAAAGATGGACAAAACCCCCTACAGGTTTGACTAAAGTAAATATGGATGCAGCAGTGGATCCCACTGGCAGGATGATGGGGTTTGGATTCGTTCTTAAGGACTCGTATGGATCTTTTGTGGCGGTAAAGGAATTTCTTTGGAATGGGCTTTTAAACCAGGAGAAGTGGAAGCGGCTGGAGTCGAGGAAACCTTAAAGTAGTAGTTGAAAGATATCAATGTCAATGGTGCTCAAGTGGAAATAGACTGCTTCCTATTGCTGAATGCTATCCAAAATCAGTTCTTAGTAGTATCATTTGACCTTATTATTAATATATTTGTAAAATAGCTAAAGCATTCTCTAACCTCAACTTTTAGTCTGTTAAACAAACTGCGAACAAGGTAACCCATTTATTAACTAAGGAGGCCTTGTCCAAGTCCGACTATATGGACTATTTTTTTTATCCATTTTCCTTCCATTGTTCATGTACTTCAACTTGACTTAAGTTAATATACTATGCTTTCGTGTTTGCTCAAAATATAATTTAGTAAAAAAAAAAAAAAACCAGAGTTTCTAGGTTTGAATACTTTTTTTTTTTGTTCTTTCTTATTCCAATAGTGGACCTAAATTTGAATCAAATAGTAATTCCTAGCCATAGGCCATAGCCATATTAATTACACCCACACCCACAATAAATATTGAACACAACTTAGACAGCATTACATTTTCACACGAAAGCCAATCGTAGACAAATGATTCTTTCGTTCTGAAATTACAATTAAGAGGAAGACAAAATGACAAAAAGTATAAGAAACATTCTCCCAGTGAAGAAGTTAAACAGAGATTTAAAAACCTATGTGCGCCAGACCAAAAACACCTGACTCTTGGCAAATGGCAAATGGCAACAAGAAGTTTCCGTCCTAACAAACAAGAAACAATTAACACAAGCAAACCTGACCTGCACATTTTCTCCTACCCAAATTTGAACCCCCCAGGGGGAACATTAGGTTGGTTCTCCCCGAAGCTAAAGGCCTGCTGCTGATTTCCATCGACTTCATCACCTATGTTTTGCTGTTCATTCTCCTCCTCTGACCAGAATTTCTCCAAGATCTTCACAGCCTTCTCATAGATCTCATGGTTGTCGTGAGTTTGGAGATGCTCTAGCTTGTCTGAACCTTCGCATTCGTCAATGAGTTGTGCATATAAATTGATCCCATCATTCAATCCCGTTTCCTTGTCAGCCTCGCCTACCTTCAGAATGTTTTCCAGCCCCTCAAGGCATACAGTAATAATTCTTGGATCGGGACATACCAGGAGATCACAAAGTGGCTTAATGCAGCCTTGATTAACCAAGAACCTGCAACAGTATGAAGATACACAATTTGTCAATTCATATAGAGTGACCAAAGTACATCATACTACGTATTTCACTGTCTGTCATTCATGCAAACTCTACCTAAAAACACTGCAAAGCCGAGTGCTAGAAAACAAAGATTAACAGAAAAGAAAGCATGACGAAAAACTATTAGAATTAGAACAGATTGGAGAGAAGGAATGTGGAACTAGACAACTTCCAGAAGAGATGGCACAAAATAACACTAATCCCCATAATCCTTTCATCTTAGTAAGTGAGACCAGACTGGACTGAGATTTACCTTTACTGATGTAAGGCTACCACATGACTCTAAGAAATTTTCATTGTTTCATTGACGGTCCTAAAAGACAGGTTAATAATTAGATGTAATATATAACTAGAGGCTGTTGTACCTAATCTGCTCATGAGAACCTCCAGAAGTGGCATTTGAGATAGCCCATGCTGCCTCTTTCTTGATGTCAAATTCTGCATTTTGAAGGAGGTATACCAAAGGAAGAATGATATTTGCCTCAATAACAGCCTGTTAAAGGACAAGTGACATAAATTATAACTATGATAAAATGCCCATAAATTTTACAAGGGTAAAACAATATTTCAACCAGATAAACTGTTAGGAAAACCTATTTTACACTTCAGTAATTTGGTTTAAGTACTTAATTAGTCCTTGTACTATTGAAAAAAAAAAAAAATCACTTTAGTCCCTATACCATTATAATGGTCAATTTAATTCATGTACTATTAAAGATATGATAATCATGGACAATGGCAACCTCTGCTAATTGGCACTGTTAAGTCTGCTTGAGTCTCATTAACGTAGTCAGTTGACTTGGTTGAAATGCCATTTTTAATATAATTAAACTTAATTATATTCAGAAGTTATTATGTATCTGAATCATGAGGCCCCTGCTGCATTTGCAACCCCCATGCGCACCTAGTCACCTCATCCACCTTTGCTAGCAGGCTGCCATCCTCCCTCAAGTACTCTGAAAAGTTGCTACCATGAGCCCAGAAACCAACCCAACCCTATGTCTTCCCAGAAGTCCAATCCACTGTTCTTACTGAGCTGAATATGAGCAAAAGTATTCAGCTTGATCACCACTCTTGAGAACAAAGCTTTGGAAGACATTATATGGGTGAAGGAAGATCATCCCAATATACCCAACCAGATTCAGCTTGATATCGATCAGTGCAGGCTGGGGGTTTGCTATAACAGTGGTGGCTAGAGCCTTGTCCCATGATTGAGATGTATAATCTGAACTGCTAAATATAATTAATTCTTCATTAATGAGAAAATGCATGTCAGCGAAGTTAGTTGACCATGTCAATGATACAAGCAGATTTAACAGTGTCAACATTCAACAAACCAAGTTTGCCACTGTCCTTTATTGTCACATTTTTAATAGCATAGAGATTATATTGACCAATTTCATAGTGCAAGGACTCAAATGAGCATTTTTCACTAACCAGACTGATTGCTTACTCATATTCAGACTAACCAAATTTGGTTAACCATATTAAGTGCCTAAAGTTTGCAACTCAACTTAAAATATCAAGCCAAGAAAATGTAAAGAGTGAAAGATTTGTTTGATATTGTTAATAAACTTAAACAGAAATTAAGACACAAATGATTACATTTTCAAATCTCTAGAAGATACTACAAATTCACATTGAAGGCAGAAGGGTCGAATAATTTAAACATGTTCACAGATCACAGAAAATAACAATCATAATCACATACCTGTATTTGAGCTCTATTTCCAGCAGTGATATTAGAGATTGTCCAACAAGCTTCTTTCTTGATGCTTTTCTTGTGATTTTGAGTAAGAAGTTGATAGAGACGTGGGAGCACTTGGTTGTCAATCACATACTGGAAAAAAACCCACAAGATTTACAAAGAAATGCAAAATAACTAAAAGAAAATTCATACATAAAAATGAAGAAACTATTGACACAAAAGATCCACATTCACACAAAAGATGAAGAGAACTTCAAGTGTTTGAATTACAAAAAGTTGATTCCCTGAAAAAGGTCCACTGTACAATATGGTTTGCTCATGTTATAGTATTGTTTATTAGGGGTGTAAATGAGCCGAGCAGCTCGTGAACCGCTTGCGAGCGGCTCGGTCAAAGCTCGGCTCGAGCTCGGTCAAAATCGAGTTCAAGCCGAGCTCGAGCGGCTCGTTTAGTAATCGAGCTCGAGCCGAGCCTAGATATTCTAGGCTCATGGCTCGTCGAGCCGCTCGCGAGCCATATAATATATAATATATATAATACATAATATAATATAATATAATAATATATAAAAATAACAATTAGAAATTAAAATTTTGAACTCAAAATTCCTAAAAGATTTCTATTATTTATGTATGGATAAAACAAAGTAGTTTGAATTTTAAACCAAAAGTGTTAAATAGGTCAAATTCAAAGTCAAAATCGAGCTCGAACTTGAGCTCAAGATCGAGCTCGAGTTCGAACTTGAACAATCGAGCTGCTCGAGCTCAGTCCGAAAATTACCGAGCTCGAGCTCGAGCATCAGTTCTCGAGCTCGAACTCGAGCCGAGCCTCCATTAACGAGCTCAAGCTCAAGCCTACCCAGGCTCGAGCTCGGCTCGGCTCGTTTACACCCCTATTGTTTATATTATCATTAATTTTTCCCTGAAAGAGAATGAATTTGAAGCATTAACCACCACAAGTTTATACGGTGTAATCTTTAGGTATTAAAAATGCAGGAAAAAGAAACCACGGAAATAGCAGAAAGATTCAACTCTGGTACTATTTGCACACATTCATATGAAGATACCTGTGTTTGAGTATCATCACCGGTGACAATATTCCCCACTGTCCGAAGAGCAGGTATGAGAACTGTAGCTGAATGATGTCTAGATAGACAAGAGAAGTAAAAAGTTGTTATCACTAAACTCTACAAGGATTCACTACAAAAAATAATAATTTTTTTAAAGCACATTATTTACTCTTGGACTTTTTATTTTATTTAATTTTATTTTTTTGCCACTTCTGGAGGGGGGCCGATGAGGAAGATTTGGAGTGAAAGCTTAAAGGGAAAATGAACATGCCCAAAAAAAAAAGATATTTGAAAAGGTAACTGAAACATACAGTAGAAGCTCTACCAGCCGCGGACAGACACCTGCCTCAATTACAGCTTGAATCTTATCATTTGGTCCATCAGATAGATAAGAAAGTGCCCAACAAGCATCTGTTAAAACTTCTTCATCATTCATATGGATAAGTTGCCGAAGAACTGGCACTGCTGCTTTAACCTGAATGGATCCAAAAAAAAATAACTAAGTTTTTGAGCATTACTCCATATATTTAAACCGTGATTCATAATCACCATTTCTAACTACTAAAAACTAGATAGCTAACTTAATATTAAGTTGTTTAATTTATCTCTTACCACCTGCTCAAATGGTGCTGGTGGTTTGCCTCGACAGAAATTTGACAAAGTCCATGTAGCATTTCTCAACATAGAAAGCTTTGAATGCTCATTCAATTGAGCTAGCAATGGCAAGAGTGCACCATTACCAAGAACCAGATCCCTACAGGTTGGAGAATCACCAGCCACATTTCCCAAGGCCCAGACTGCCTGTTTAGAAATGAGGCAGCACATAAATACATCAATAAAGACCAGAAGGAAACATGAAAGACTATTTTCCAAAAATAAAAATAGAAAGCCTTAAGGTGCTGCTTTTATTTTATTTCATTGTGTGATTGCGGTACTGTCTTAATAGTGAATGATTTCCAATTCCTTCTATATAAAAGTATACAATAGAAAAGACTTTTAATTACATATTTTGGATGTCGATTGTAGTATTATTTCATGCAAATTGCAGTACGAAACATTTACATATCATTTTGAAGAAAATATTTGATTTTTCTCATTTCATGTTACGTTGAATGAGGAAGAGATGTTTTGCACTTTAAAGCAATGCAGTCTCCATTTTTATTTTTATTTTTTGCGCTTTTCACTTTAAAAAAAAAAGTAGTAAAAACTGTCTACATCAAGAAGACATCAAAGTCATTTTGACTAGTATCATAAAATAAATAAAAGCACAATATGGTAATGTTATTACCTGCTCACGAACATCATCACTTGGTGAGCTAAGAAGTTGTATAAACTTAGGGACAGCACCATGTTCAATGACAACCCGTGTATGTTCTGATGTACCAGATGCTACATTTGTTAATGCCCAAGCAGCTTCAAACTGCAAAAATAAACAATGTAGAATCAAAGTTGTCTTAAAATGATTCATCAATTAAAAAGAATTGTTTCTCCAATAGACAAATTACTAATACAAACTATTGCGCACTTGCAATTGGGGTAAGTCATTTCTTTCAAGAAACTGTACAAAGCGTGGGACAACTCCAGCTTTAATCACTTCATCTATTGGAGGGCTGCGCTCTACAAATCACATAAGAGAAAGGACCATTCAGTAAGGTCAATAAAGAAAAATAAGATTTTCAGCCATTAAAACCAAAAATACCAATGGATAACAGTTTTCTGAATTGTGTGGTTGCTTCAATTTGTACAGCTGGATCCTCAGACCATACTCCTTGGACCATCAATGGAATGCATTCTAGCTGTTAGACAAAATAAAAGATCAAGAGTGAAGGCCATTCTTAAAATTAGAACAATCACTGCATGTGAGATAAATATTTCTGTATGACAACTTAAAAGTGTGCAATGCATTTGGGCTAATCAATAGAAAGTAATAGAAAAGAATCACCATCATAAAGGTCCCATGCCAACCAAAGATGGATCAAACAAGAAAAGCATGGCATGATTTGTAAGAATTCAAAGTAAATTTCAAGTCAGAGACAGACAGTGACGAGAAGAGGAGTTGCCAAAATCAAAATTTTGACAAACTAAACAATGGAGTACATTTTATAAAAAATTTCTAAACTGAGTGGTGGGGGGTCTACTATAAACTATGGAGTACAAATATAACTTGTTATGATTACAAATAATATAGTACAAGTTTTCAAAGTTGAGTGGGAGCAAGTACTCCCACTTGAATATCAGTAACAGAAGAATTCTGTCTTTAAAACAAAGAATAAGAATATTTTCAGTTCTGGGGGTGCTGTGAAAAAGCTCAGTCCTGAGGGAACCAGTTCTCTGTAGAGCATTATCATTTTACCAAACACTAGTATAAATGTATAAAGTTATACTTGTCCCTTTATATAGAGAGTTTTTATCCCCATTTATTTAGTGGTGTTGCTATTGATTATTTTATTTGTAATTGGAGATTTGGGTAATCATCAGTTCTACTAATCATAATTCAATTGTATTCCTCATTGCCTCAAACAAGGGGGGTGGGGGGACCAGCTTTTCAATACTTCATTCCAGAATCTGATATGCTGCCACTGGATTTTTTGTCTATATTAATTACACAAACATGTGATGGGCAATCACCATTAATTGTCTAATTTGAAAATAAATTATTATCATCAAACATTGCAATTAGAAACATTAACTACAAGCAAGCTAGTCAAAGGTATTATGGTTACAATGTTAATGCCAATATGGAAGTTATTTTTCGGCAGAAAAAACCACATGCACAAATCCAAGTAACTACGACGCTTGTAAACCAAACTCCCCTTCATTGAAACCAAGGATGATTTAATGATGAAAATGCTCTCTTTCCTTTGCACCCTATCCAAGGGAAAGAATATGACTAGTGGCACTCATCATCCAAAGCAACTGTATGTACCTCTATCATGTAAGTCATCCTATGGTAGTACCAAAAATCAGTTGGAAACCATTAGTTTTGAAATCCTATCCACGAAAGGAAGTATAAAATAGTTATTGCAAATAAAGTGGGCATAGTAACTTGAGTTGGACTCACCCACATCATTCAAGATGCAAGGAAGAAAATTTTATGCAACTTTGCCTCTAACTGCAAAGGTAACTATAATATGAATTGAAATAATATATGCAAAACATACAAATTCATGAGGTTAATAATGACCACTTAGATTTCAGAAGAAAATAAAAACCAAGTTCCGTAATTATTACCCATGACACTAGTCATTGACCACTAAGCACTAGACAATTCAAGATTCAAAGCATTTCCCCTTAAGGACTAAACCCAATTCAAATTCAAGCACTACTGACATTTCTTCCCTTTTTCCAATTCATCAAGGAAATATTCCCGATCTAAAAGGAGGACAGCAAATGGAGTTAACCTAATCAACTAGGCACATCAAAAGATCACAGACGCTGGCAAGTAGTTGACCTCACACTGGAAAATAAGTCCAGCTTGATGATCTTACCTAGATCGAAATCACTAACCAGAACAGATCAAATATTTATACAATCCAGCACTTAAATTTAAGTTAAACAAGAATCCGACGTCAGCAAAAGGACGAATTATTGATTTCCAGTAAGGAAAAAGTCGAGCATTCAGACAAAATCATCGTCAAAATTTACAACCTGCAGTGAATTTCTTGCTAATGATGATAACAATAACAATTAGCAGTACCCGTTTGTCAGGAGCGGCGGGGGATTGAGAAGCATCAAGAACATGCTGGGACTGAAGAACCTCGCGGCGCTTCTTAAGAAGGTTATCCTCGCGCTTGCTCTTCCTGATCTCCACCAGGTTGTCCTCCCTCCGCCGCCGCGCCTCGTCGGCATCCACTCCGATCTTGTACGACTTCTTGCGTACCTCAGTTCGGGTACCGGGTCGCAATGACATTTTCGGGATTCGGGTTTGGATTCTCTGCAATCAAAGTGTTCGACGAAATTCCCAACAGATACAATCAGAAAAAAAAATGAAAAAAATCGAATGGGTTTTGAATCCTAGAGATTGAAAGCAGGAGAGGTTATCGTGCCTGGGTGGGGGATGCTAGCCGACCTGTTTGTTTACACCATCTTTTTTTTCTCTTTTGCTTTGAAGACACGTTATAGAGGCGAGGGCTGTTTGGTCTTTCCGCATTATACAGAGGTGACCCAGACTAGTAACGTCAAGTCTATGACGACAAAATTAAGGTTTTAACTTTTTTTTTTTAATAATGTTTAAATCGGCAATTGAACGTAACTTGAAAATGCAATTAGGCCACTGAATAAAAAAAAATAAAAAATAAAAGTCATTGAATACTCCAAAAGTATGCGATTTTACATGATAGCTGGTTACGTGCTTACGTGGTAGCTGAGTTGGTATTTTTAATAAATTTTAATAATAAATTTATTTTAAAAAATTTTAAAAATAACCATTGTTTTTTTTAATTTTTAAAAATTTATTATTAAAATTATTAAAAATGTCAACTCAGCTATGTGATTGCAGTTATTACTTTATTTTTCTGCAAATTGTCTATTACAATTTTTGTATAAAGTATTACATTTATGATATAAATAAGGCTTAAAGTATGAATGATATCTGCAATGTTGTTATGTTATTACTTTATTCCTTGCAAAATATGTATTATATTACATTTATGCTATAAAGTATTATTTATCTACTATATAAATATATATACTAGTTTTTTCCCGCTCATTGCGCGAATGGATAATGCTCAATTATTATTTTTAAATAAGTTCTTCAACGTATATAAATACAAGATTATATATGAGATGTTCATACATAGCTAATTGAATGTTGAATTTGTTAATTTAAATCAGTAATTCAAAGTATATAAATGCAAGATAATATATGAGAGATTGATTATAATTGTCACTAAAATAAATGTTTGCAACTTTGTTAATTGTTATAACGCTAGTCTAAATACTTAATCTAAAACGATTGTTTAAATAAATACTACTTTTGATTTAAATTTCTCTAAGTCTTCATAATTTTCTTTTGGGTAGCATTGTCTTCTTGACAGTGTCATGCAATAAGATTATGGCTAGTGTATGAAGTTTTAGATTTGTCTTGTTGTGTATATGATTGTGATCTTAGTTGTACTATGAACTCTTTATCTTGCAAGAGCATGTTGATATTTGGTAGTGCTAGTTTTTCCCCCTGCATATTTCATGTGTTGTGAGATGTGTGTCGTAGACTATCATGTGAAATTATTAAACAAAATATTAATATTTATTATATTTTTATAAAATACTTGGTAAATAAATATATAACATATTTGTATTATAACTTTGATACTACCTCGTCCCATTTTATGTGTCTGATTCGGTTAACGAGGCTTGACTGAAGTCATTTTTAATTCAATTTTTTATAATATTAAGTTTAGTATTAGTATGCAAAATTTATATATTTAGAAACTACACTGAAAGTACTATTAACCACAAAAAATTACATTTAAAAATAAGTAAAAAAATACTAAAGAAAATAAACAAAGAAGAAAGAGTTGATTGACCAATGAATAGTAAGTATGACAGATGGAGTATTTAATTAAAAGATAGTGTAAAAAGAAGCCAATGAACAATGTAGTGAATATAATTAATTAATAAATTTGGAGGTAATGAATCTTTGAATTGTAGAAAATAAAGATAATATAACTCATGAAATTATATCTCTTTTTAAATTTTTTTATAATGAATAATTTTTTTTTTTAATAAAGGCATTATAGAATCTATTCTAAATTAATTAAATGCATATATATTATTTTTGGTTGTAGCTACTAATTTATTTAATTTAAAGGAAAATGGTCAAATGGACCCTTAAACTTGATTCAAAATTACAATTAGACCCTTAAACTTTAAAAAAATGCAATTAAACACTCGAACTTGTCAAAATGAGTCAAATAAGTCTAATTTGCCGATAACATGTTACTGATAAATTATTGACGTTGACCACTGTTAAAAAAATAATAAAAAAGTTCCACCGAAATGATATTTCCCAAGTGTGTGCATTTTATTTGTTTTCAATTATAGCAAATTTTATTGAGTGAAAAACATTTTAGAAGATTTTTATCAAGTTAGAACATTCTAAGTCATTATGAGCACTATTAAAATATTTTCAAAGTTAAATTTATTACCTTGTATTAGGCAAATCATGTCCATTCAGTGATGAAATGAATGCCTATATTATACATGTTAAATATGCATAGTCTAATGGAAAGTTGGATTAGTTTTTAGATTTAGATTCCAGTCACTATCATTTTATCCAAGGTATACTATGCATTACTTTATTATATAAAACATAACATCAAATAAAGAAAATAATATTTATTATTTTGTAAATCAATAAAATTTTATAATACAAGTAATGTTAATAGGTAATAAGAATATTCTTATACACAATTTGTTACATATTAAAGTTCAAATAGTTATTTCTACGTTTGGTTTGTAGGATCTGAGTCCTTCAAATAAGAGATAAATAAATTGAGTTAAGAAAAATAATAAATTGAGTCTGATTAATGTTTCCTTCCTGACCTTAGAAAACTGATAAATTAAAATCTACCTCCAAACTCTCCGGTGCTAAAATAGACAGTGCAATCAGAGAGAATTGAACCTGAGTTATTCCAAAATTTTCCCCTATATAGAGAGATCATTTATCACTTGAACTACCCCACTATGAATGTGCTTTTTGCTGCCAATATATATTTCTCTGCAATTATAATCTGCCTTTGCAATTGAACTTGTACTTTTTTTTTTTAATAAATAAACATGTTTTCTTTGAGGGATCAGTTTGGATATTATCTTCCAACTTCTTAGCCTTTGTTTGTTTTTCCGTGCTAATAAATTATACTTCAATAGTTGTACACTACATTAATATTGTTATTTGACAAAATTACCATTACTAAACTTATGTTGAACACAATTAGTCAATTAACTAACACACGTATAATTCCATTACTATTTAATAAATTCTAACATTGATGACCAAATAAATAAAAACTAGAATATACCATTATAATTACCATATATTGGTTAAAAATCATACATTAACTATTTTTAAAAAATAATTTTGTACCAATTGTCTTTATAACTTTGTACATTATACTAACCCAAAATTCTTTAATTATCATTTTTCAATATAAATATAATTTTCTATATATAAATAAAAATATTACAATAATAATTACTTATTCCCTTATAACTAACAAACACTTTATTTCTAATTAGTATTACATTTTTCAGTATAAGTATTATATTTTCATATTGACCTGACCCGACCCGTCTCGTCTCACGGATAAGGATCTGTAAAACGGTCTCACACAAGTGTGGCCCTATTATTTTTAGTACAAATCCTTTTCTTGATGTTATGTTCGGGTTTTGATTTCATTTCTTACTTTTTTCTCTTGAATTTTAAAAAAAAAAAAAAAAAGAAGAAGAAGAAGAAATTGGTTAGAAAATAAAGGTAAATTATATCGTGGACCTGGATTCATCTTGATCCAAAAATGAATCCAAGTATTAAAAATGAACATATATATATATATATATATATATATATATATATATATATATATATATATATATATATATATATATCTGTGTGTGTGTTAAATGAATGTGCCATATATGATATATTATAAATAAACTTGTAGTAAAAATGATGCATCTAGTTAAGAATAATTGTAAATAGATTTTGATGATATGTATGTAAAATAGGATTAGAATTTAAATCACAAAATTTTTCTTGTAAAAATTAGGACATTAATATACAAAAGTATTTTCTAAGTGCCAAAATATGAAGAAATTCAACGCAGCACAAGTTGATAATAACATCATGCTGGAGTCATCAAGTAGCAAGGTTGGTAGCAGTCCAAATGTGAAGCTAATCGCAGTGGCTTTATTAATTGCAATGCCCCCATAGAAGTGGTTGACATGGTTGTATTTGTATAGTTCTTGTGATGAACAATTTTTCAATCATTGTATGTATATGATGAATACTTTTAATTGTATTGACATGTAGTGTAGGTTTGAACATGTTAATATGATGACTATTTTAATTGTGTTGGCATGTAGCAATAGTTTGGACATGTCGCTTGTATATTTTAATACGTATGACTACATTAATTTCTTCAAAAAAAATGACTACATTAATTATATTATGAGGTTAGGGCCCGTCCGGAGGGGTGGGCAACATGGGCACTCGCTCAGTGCCCAATGTTGAAAGGGGCCCCTAATTTGAATTTTTATTTTTTATAAAGTTAAGAGAAAAATTTTTTTTTGCATGAACAGAGATTTAAATCCACAACTTCAAAATTATTATTTAACATTAAATCTACTTAACAATTACATCATTTAATATAATAATTCAATTAATAGAGGCCCGTATTTATTAGAGAATATTAAATTAATTTATAATTAAACTTTATAGGGGCCAAAGTTTGAATGAATACTATTTCGTAATTAGTCCAACTGATTTTTTTTATATATAAATAAAGTGTTAAAAAATTATATGTCGATAAAAATTCAAAGTTATTTTTAAATTATTTTCAATTAACACAATCTTTTGATATATATATATATATATATATATATATATATATATATATATATATATATATATATATATATCCATTCGAATTATGTTAGGGGCTCTTTCGCTTTTGCCAGATCTAGAGAGATACTACAAGTCCTCCGTCCCAGATTCCATCGCCGCGGCTATTTGGTTCACCGGTACTACCAAATTATGTTACGTTTCTGTTATTGATGGTTTGATTATTTTGGTATATATATATATATATATATATATATATATATATATATATATATATAGGGTTGAGTTTACACAAGGACCACAATATATAGAGGACTGTGCCGATAAATTAGTATCAGGCAAACAACTTAATACAAATGGCACACAAGAATACATGTAAACATCAGGTTTCAAATCCAGACTCTATTAATTAACAAACATATGCACACAACATACAAATTATGGCATACACGACTACATTCAGTCATACACACGACATACATACTAATGACA